GCTTCAAAACCTTTTTTGAAGATTCTTTAAGAGGGATGAACAGCCGCTTTCTGCTACCTGACACGGAGCATGCCTTGACAAGCTCGCCGAAAGCCTCAAGCTTGAATCCGAATCTTCGCCCCAGCCAACACATGAAAAAATATGAAAAATTGGGTTTTCATATGGTTGCAATCATGAGTAGGCTCCCAGACCAAGCCAGCAAAATAAGAAACAGATGGTCACGGGCATATTTAAGTTCAGAAGCGTGCTTCCAGCTTGTCTGGGCAGCGAACATTCCGTTTCACAAATTCGGGCAGGCGCTTTCTGCGAAAAATTGGCACCGAGAAGCTCAAAACAAAAAACGGCAACCGCAAACACTAAGTTGCTGCGGCAAGCCCTGGACCCTAAAAAGCACCCTAAACCCTAAACCCTAAGCCCCAAGCCCTAAGCCCTAAACCCTAAACACTTTCGCGCCAGGGCTCTCTCAAGTGCCTGGATGCAGACTGTTCGCTCAACCCTAAGATCTAAACCCCCCAAACACCCGCAAACCCCAAACCCGACTATCCCCCAGGCTTCTACCGTCGGCCTTCAGCAGGTTTACTGCGCTCTGGCCGTCAAGACCGAAAATGACCTTCACGGTCAGCTCCTTGTGACTCTCTCTGGGCGTTCTGGCGTCGGCTCTGCGGGTTTAGAGTTTCCAGGCTTCAGGGCAATAGAGCTTAAGGGAATATAGGGTTTAGGGTTTGGGGTTTAGGGTTGAGAGGTCTGTCCAGGGCATTGGGGCTGCTTGAGGGTTTTTCGTGGCATTTTGGGGGTTTTGGAGGGTTTAGGGTGCTTGGGGTGGTTCCGCTTGTTGGCGCAACCTCCGGGACCCTTTGTTTAAGCAAGCAGATCCAACGTCCGGGAATTAAGGCGATCTCCCTTTCTTAAAGGGTTTCATAGTGTAAAGGTTCCTCCGGGATGTACAGAGATCAGCCACCTCTAGACCCCAGCCACACCGCCTTTTTGCGTACTGGCTCTTAGTAGGGAATGCGGGAATGAGATGCTCTGCGGAATTTCTATGGGGAAAATCAAGGCTTAGGCTTAGGATTTAGGGTTGAGGGTCCTTCCCTACTAAGAACCACACTGTGTGTGTGCGCTATGTCTTTGAGCTTGAAGGCCCCAAACCTGGTCACACGCTACTTGCTTTTCAAGCCCGGAATCTCCAACAACCCAAACATTCCTGAAGTCCCAAACCACACAAACTCAAACACACAAACCCTGCCCTAAGGCCCCCAAAAGCCCTAAACCCCAAAACCTCCCATGAGCCCGACAATCCCTCAAGACGACGAACCCTAAACCCTAAACCGCTTGACCCAGACCCTAAACTCCGAAACCCCCAAATCCCAAACCCTAAACCCTTCTAACCTAGACCCAAACCCTAAACGCTAAACCCTAAACCCAACATATCAGGTCGAAGCCACCGCTGCCGACACCAAAAGGCATCCGAAGTCGAAGAGGTTCCAGGAAAAGTCAGGGCCGCCTGCAGCTAGGGTTTAGGGTTGAGGGTTGAGGGTTTAGGGTCTAGGGTTTAGGGTTTAATGTTGCACCCTCTTTAGTGTGGGGCCCCCCCCCCCCCCCCCCCCTGAACAGTCGAGGCGTGGGTTGGGTCCTGATTAAAGGGCTCCGGGGGTTTATATGATTTTAATAGGGAGGAGTTTAGATAGATTTAAAAGGGATTAGAGAAGATGTAATCAGTAGTAGTACTTAGTAGTACTAAGTAGTACTAAGTAGTACTAAGTAGTACTAAGTAGTACTTAGTAATTACTTCGTAGTACTTCGTAGTACTTCGTAGTACTTTGTCGTACTTAGTAGTACTAGTTAGTACTAAGAAGGAGTAGGAGCCCTGAGAAGCCTTAATTAAGCTCAGAATCCCCTTCGCCTGCCATCCTCAGAGCCTTTTGCTTTCAGCATTCGCACTTCCGCCTGATCTCCTGCCTGAGTTCGTCTCAGCCATGACCCTTTGGCTGCACTAAGGGGGGGGGGGGGAAGGGGGTCCTTCAGGAGGAGCCTGAGGAAGAGGAAGGGGCCTGAGGAAGATAAGCGAGTGAGGGGGCCACCATTTTTTTAAATTTAAGACTTGGCCTGAGTCCCCACTCAGGCTCAGTCACTCTGCGAAAAGATACTCAGGGGGATGCTGAGGGTCGGGCTGAGGGCTTGGGTTATAGGGTTGAATTATTTGTTTAATTAGGGTTCAATTAGTCAGGGGTGAAGTGGGTTTATTCAGGGCTAATTTAAGGGTTTAGGGTTGAAGCCCAATGACCTAAACCCAAACCCTAAACCCTAAAGAAACCCCTTTGCATCTAAGGAAGACTCAGATGAAGATGGCCGTCTTCCTGAGCTTTGCCCTCCTCAGTGGGCTCAGCTTGGCCAGCTGCTGGGCTGCACTTAGTCTGACTAGCTTCAGTGAGGGCTTGCATTTAGGCACTGAGACAGGAGTGAGTGCTTGCATCTAGGACTGAGACAGAGCTTGAGCATGAGGAACTTGTTTTTTCTTCAGAGCGCTTTTGGTCCTCAGCATCCTCACCAGCAGCTCGCCTAAGTAATCACTTAGCGAGCCATGTCCTTCCCGCCATTGAAGGCTTCTTCTCAGGCTCCTCCTCAGAGCTCTGCTCAGCCGGTGCTTATCCCTCAGAGCCTGGTGCCTCCACCACCACCTGAGCCCCACCAGCTCTTCAGAGTTGGTGTTGAGGGTCCTAAGCAAAGGCTTCAGTACGACCGCACCATCGAGCCTGAGCCCTTCTTCCTTTGTCCTCAGTGTGAGGATCGTAAGGTGCACACTAAGATCTTCCTCAGCCGAATCCTGCATCAGACCAGGTGTGTTGAGTGCCACGGCTCCTGGCCGGCCTCAGTCATCCTCAGGTTCCACACTGAGATCCTTCCCATGATTGAGGACCTGCCCTGGAGCAGACACTTAGCCCTGAGGTACCGAGTCATTCCTCAGAACAAGATGACGCCGAACTCAGGAGTGGACCTGAGCTTTCGTGGTCAGCCTGGGTCTGAGGCTGTGCCTAAGGCAAGCCCTCCCAATCCTCCTGAGGAAGATGAGCCATGGAGTGCAGAGTCGGTTCAGAGGTGGCTGAGGAAGACTGAGGACCGCCTCTCAGCCCTGGCCTTCAAGCTGAGAGGTTCCGGCCACTCAGAGAATGCCCTGAGAGACTGCATCTACGATGTCAGGGCAGCTCAGAAGGATGCCTCAGGCCTGCTTGAGGACCTCCATTCTCAGGTCAAAGACTATGAGGACCTCATTGAGGCTGTGCGAAGCTTTGAGGAAGACTGCCTTCAGGGCCATCTTGAGCTTGCCGACCATGTTGAGGAGAGGCTGGACTCGAGGCGAGCTGAGAGGGAGGCTCAGCAGGCCCAGCGGGCTCAGGCAAGTGCTGAGCCTGTTCCTCAGCCCAATTCTGAGAGCGACCTGAGCGGCCTGAGCCCTGAGGAGCAAGCTCAGCTGAAGAAGCTTCTGGCGAAGATGGGCCAGGGCCAAGCCTCAGCAACATCCTCAGCATCATCGTCAGGCCAGCAAGCTGAGACCGCCGAGAACTGGCTGAGGCACCAGTGATCGCTACCTGAGTCAGCGATCAGATCTGTCTCCTGAGAGAGACTGTTTTTTTGCACTGTCTCCTGAGAGAGACCGATTTTTGAAGAAGGCCTGAGAGCCTGAGAAGACTCCTGCTGAGATGTGTGAAAAGGAGTGCCTCAGTGAAGCCAAGGGTTCCCAAGCGATGAACTAAGTGGGGTTCAGTATTCCTTGAGTTCTGCATGTCCTCGCATCTCAGGTCCAGTCACCTCAGAGCTCTCGGTTCTGGTGACTCAGCTCAAGGACTGGGGTTTGGACGCCTCAGTCTGGGTTCCTCAGCTGCTTTTGGTGTTTCTGAAACTACTTAGGGCTTAATTAGGGCTTAGGGTGGTTTAGGGTTTAGGGTTTAGGGTTTAATTAGGGTTTAGGGTTTAATTAGGGTTTAGGGTGGTTTAGGGTTTAAGGTTTAGGGTTTAATTAGGGTTTAGGGTTTAGGGTTTAATTAGGGTTTAGGGTTAAGGGTTTTCCGCGCTCAGGCTCACATCTTCGTCCTGAGCTTCGTCTTCGGGGTCGCCTTCAAGATGTACAAGTTCCTGAGTGATGTCCTCTGGTACCTGCAAGCTCAGGACACGTGTCTCAGTTCAACCCTGATCCCTAAACCCTTAGACCCTAAACCCTAAACCCGAGACCCTAACCCGAAACCTTAATTAACCCTAAGCCCTAATGAAACCCTACACCCTAAACCTGGAGGAGGGATGGCTCAGTGGTATCTCAGACAGGGTCACCCACATTGAGCGCCGAGACTCAGGCAGCACCTCAGGCAAACCCAGAAACCCAGAAATCCCTAAGCCCTTAAACCCCTACAGCCCCTCAGCCCTGAAACGCCTTAGTTACTACAACTCCTAAACCCATAACCCCTAATTAATTACTGAGTAATTAATGAAGTCCTATTCTTGCCAATCTGAGGCCAAGATTATACCTCAGGAGATTCCTGGGATGCCCTGAGGCACCTCACCCAGGTCTTCTACGAGTTTGACCCTGAGGCTGGGCTTCAGGAAGGGTTTAGGGTTTGGGTTTAGGGTTTAGGGTTTAATTAGGGTTTAGGGTTTAATTAGGGTTTAGGGTTTAATTAGGGTTGAGGGTTTAGGGTTTAGGGTTTAGGGTTTAGGGTTTAGGGTTTTTAATTAGGGTCTAGGGTTTAGGGTTTAGGGTGTAGGGTTTAGGGTTTAGGGTTTAATTAGGGTTTAGGGTTAATTAGGGCACCTCAAGCCATTCTGAGGCAGGTGGTTCTCAGATCCTCTTCGACATGTTCCTGAGGGTTCGCAACTCCTTAGGCAAGCAGACAAGCTGGGAACGTCAGGCAAGCAGACTGCACTAAGTTCTGTTTTGTAATTAGTAATTAGAGGTCCCACTAAACTAACCTTCTGAGGTCTTAATTAGGCCTTGCTGTTCAGCTTAGGCGTTTATGGCTGAGTGGGATGTGCTCCTCAGCACAGCCATCCTCAGTGTGAAGTCTGAGATCTTCTATCAGAGGCTGGTCAGAGTGCCACAACAGCACTGAGGGTAGGGTTTAGGGTCTAGGGTTTAGGGTTGTATATAGGGGGTAATTAAGAAATTTTAATTAATATATTATACTATATCATATTAATTATACTATATTTAGCTGATTAGGATGTCGTCATTTAGTTTTAGTTTCTTGACCTCAGGTCCTCGAAGGAAAGACTCAGCCTTTGCCTGAGCACGAAGCGACCCTCAGCAATCTGCTCAGGCCAGAGGTTGCTAAGCTTTTCTTTGACTCAGCAGCCTGACTGATAATTAGCATCAGTCCGTCATTAATTAGTTACTCAAGTAAGTACAGTTGTTCAGATTAGCCTCACCTAAGGCATCTGTTGAGTCGAGGGCGAGTCGCTTAGCTGACTGGTCCTCAGCCGGTCACCTTTACGACTCAGTAAACAGCCGCCTCAGGGCCCTTCAGCAGAAGGTTGCTCAGGCAAGCACTTTAGGGTTTAGGGTTTAGGGTTTCGGGTTTAGGGGTTTAGGGTTTAGGGTTTAATTAGGGTTTAGGGTTTAGGGACCCTAAACCCTAAACCCTAAACCCTAAACCCTAAACCCTAACCCCTAACCCCTAAACCCTAATTAAACCCTAGTTAAACCCTAAACCCTAAACCCTAAACCCTAAACCCTAAACCCTAAACCCTAAACCCTAAACCCTAAACCCTGAACCTAAGGCTCAAGACCTGGCAGTGAGCTTCCAGTCCATCAGCACGATGCCTCAGGCACCTTCTGCTCTGCCTGAGTGGAACACGGAACTTGAGGCCAGGACAAACCCTAAGCCCTAAGCCCTAAACCCTAAACCCTAAACCCTAAACCCTAAACCCTAAACCCTATTAAACCCTAAACCCTAAACCGAAATCCCTGAGGTTTTGCGATGGAAGACTGAGCTGCATCGCTCAGGAGCAGCTCAGGCCTAAAGGGCCTCAGACAACAGCAGACAACAGCAGACATTTTTGAGTGCAAAAGTGAGCTCTGAGTCTTTCTTGCTTTGTGACTAAGCCCGGAACCCTACTTAACCAACACCCTAGTGGCTCAAGCCAGCAAGAGGCTCAGAACCATCAGGCTAAGGCCCGCCTTTAAGCCCAGACAGCCCGGCATCCGAAATCGGGGCTCCGGGCCGGGGCCCGGTCATTAAAGAGGGTCCCGAATCAGTCCCACTATTGGGGGTCCGAGGGGGCCCCTGGACCACCCCCTTGCCGGATTGAGGTGGACCAATTTTTCAAAAGGTTTCCTTAAAGGAAACCATTGGTTTCGGGCCGGTTGGAATTCCGGAAATCGGCCTTTGAAATCCCAAGGCCCGGCTTTAAAATCAAAAGGCCCGCCTTTAAGCCCAGACAGCCCGGCATCCGAAATCGGGGCTCCGGGCTGGGGCCCGGTCATTAAAGAGGGTCCCGAATCAGTCCCACTATTGGGGGTCCGAGGGGGCCCCTGGACCACCCCCTTGCCGGATTGAGGGGGACCAATTTTTCAAAAGGTTTCCTTAAAGGAAACCATTGGTTTCGGGCCGGTTGGAATTCCGGAAATCGGCCTTTGAAATCCGAAGGCCCGGCTTTAAAATCAAAAGGCCCGCCTTTAAGCCCAGACAGCCCGGCATCCGAAAATCGGGGCTCCGGGCCGGGGCCCGGACATTAAAGAGGGTCCCGAATCAGTCCCACTATTGGGGGTCCGAGGGGGCCCCTGGACCACCCCCTTGCCGGATTGAGGGGGACCAATTTTTCAAAAGGTTTCCTTAAAGGAAACCATTGGTTTCGGGCCGGTTGGAATTCCGGAAATCGGCCTTTGAAATCCCAAGGCCCGGCTTTAAAATCAAAAGGCCCGCCTTTAAGCCCAGACAGCCCGGCATCCGAAATCGGGGCTCCGGGCCGGGGCCCGGTCATTAAAGAGGGTCCCGAATCAGTCCCACTATTGGGGGTCCGAGGGGGCCCCTGGACCACCCCCTTGCCGGATTGAGGGGGACAAATTTTTCAAAAGGTTTCCTTAAAGGAAACCATTGGTTTCGGGCCGGTTGGAATTCCGGAAATCGGCCTTTGAAATCCCAAGGCCCGGCTTTAAAATCAAAAGGCCCGCCTTTAAGCCCAGACAGCCCGGCATCCGAAATCGGGGCTCCGGGCCGGGGCCCGGACATTAAAGAGGGTCCCGAATCAGTCCCACTATTGGGGGTCCGAGGGGGCCCCTGGACCACCCCCTTGCCGGATTGAGGGGGACCAATTTTTCAAAAGGTTTCCTTAAAGAAAACCGTTGGTTTCGGGCCAGTTGGAATTCCGGAAATCGGCCTTTGAAATCCCAAGGCCCGGCTTTAAAATCAAAAGGCCCGCCTTTAAGCCCAGACAGCCCGGCATCCGAAATCGGGGCTCCGGGCCGGGGCCCGGTCATTAAAGAGGGTCCCGAATCAGTCCCATTATTGGGGGTCCGAGGGGGCCCCTGGACCACCCCCTTGCCGGATGGAGGGGGACCAATTTTTCAAAAGGTTTCTTTAAAGGAAAACATTGGTTTCGGGCCGGTTGGAATTCCGGAAATCGGCCTTTGAAATCCTAAGGCCCGGCTTTAAAATCAAAAGGCCGGCCTTTAAGCCCAGACAGCCCGGCATCCGAAATCGGGGCTCCGGGCCGGGGCCCGGTCATTAAAGAGGGTCCCGAATCAGTCCCATTATTGGGGGTCCGAGGGGGCCCCTGGACCAATTTTTCGAAAGGTTTCCTTAAAGGAAAACATTGGTTTCGGGCCGGTTGGAATTCCGGAAATCGGCCTTTAAAATCCTAAGGCCCGGCTTTAAAATCAAAAGGCCCGCCTTTAAGCCCAGACAGCCCGGCATCCGAAATCGGGACTCCGGGCCGGGGCCCTGACATTAAAGAGGGTCCCGAATCAGTCCCATTATTGGGGGGCCATCTGCGACACGATCTCCTAAGAAAAAAACCCTAATCTCTAAAGGAAACCCTAAGAAAGGCCTTCGTCTTGCCTGAGCACAGGCCTTCCAAGTAAGAGCAAGAGGGGGTGGGCCACCCTCAGAAACAACCGCCAAGACACCTGAGAAGCCACAGCAGGGCAGCCCAGCTTCTCAGCAGACCGCGAGCCCAGCTTCTCAGCAGATCGCGAGCACTCCTCAGTCCACAGCACGAAAAGTTCTGCAGTATGGCCTCACAAAGTTCTTCGGAACACCTGAGCAGAAGGCATCTGCTCAGCCTTTCGAGCTGCACTTGACAGGTTACCACAGGAGCCACAAGAGCAGGGCTCAGCTCGAGTTCGAAGCATCTAAGGAGGCCTTTGAAGCTCTTGTGGCTGAGAAGGAGGCAGAGGAGGACGAAGATAGGGCTCATGAGATTGCCAAGAGGAGACGACTCACTCAGGGCAAGAGGTTCACAAGAGTCGCCCCTGAGGCCGGGAAGAGGAAGTTTCAGAAAGCTCGCCTTGAGCTGACAGCCAATCGAAAGAGGCTGATTGCTGAGGACTTGGCTCAGTCCAAGTCTCAGTTTTCCACTGAGAGCAAGTTCTGGGAGGCCATGATCGCTAAGCATGGCCTGTCTAAGAAACAGCTCAGCAGGATCGTCAGCCAAAGTCAGGCCTATGCAGAAATGAGCAAGGCACCTCTTCGGAGAGGAAACTCTAAGAACAAGAAGCGAGTTAGAGTTTCGGGGGCTGGCCGGAAGGTGCCTTACCCTGAGGTCCTTGCCACGCTGTCTCAGTGGCTGGCTGTTGAGCGAGCCTGTGGCCACACGATCAGCCAGCAGGACTTCTTTCAGGAGTTCTTGTTTCAGCTGAGGCTCTCGGCCACTAAGTCTCGTCTTAGGGCAGAAGAACGTGGCCTCAGCAACCTGAAGGTGGCTGAGTTGCAGCAGGATGCTGAGGACAAAGAGGCCAGGGCTGAGAAGCTGAGCAAAAGCAAGACCTACCGCAGGAGTTTCACTGAGAAGCTCCTGAAATGGACCAAGGCCAAGTTCACCACCTCAGAGGTCGTGAGCAACATCAGCAGCCTTGAGTCTCAGGTCAGGTGCAAGCTCACCTGGCAAGAGTTCGACTGGTGCCTCTGGCTGGCCAGCCTGAGCTCTCTTCCTGAGCTGTCTGCTGAGAAGAGGGTGTCAGACCCTGAGGACTTCGTGAAGAACAGGGCTCACTTAGCCATCGGCTTCTCCGATCAGGTGCCACTGTGGGCTAAGGCCACAGGCCGAAAGGCAGTCTTCTCTGCTGAGGAGCTCCACTCAGCTGAGACCACCAAGGACTTTTCTGAGGTCAGGGAAGCCATTGAGGATGCCATGAGGACTGACTCAGATGCAACCTTTCAAGTGGTTCCCATCAGCGACACAGGTGACAGCACTCCCGGAGTAAAGAAAGCCCTCAGCTTCGGCTCAGAAGGGTCAGGCACAGTCAGAAGGGCCCTGAGCTTCAGCAGCCTTAGCCCAGAGAAACCTCTGCAGACCGAGGAGAAAGCAGAGGAGGAGCAGCAGCAGAGGTTCAGGCACAGTCAGAAAGGCCCTGACGTCAGGTGCTTCTTCAGGTTCTGGATGAGCCCAGCAAGCCAGTCGTCGGCTTAGTGGGCAAGGGGTTGCTGGTGGTGCCCGGCCAGTGGGCTCGCCTCAGCAACATCTCTCAGGACGGCAAGTGGATCCGGACTGAGAGGTTCAGGGTCGGTGCTAAGGAGAAGGTTCACTCAGCTGGTGCCTCAGTCGGCAAGATCTTGCTCAGCTATCGAAAGCTCAGGCAGGCTCACCCTGAGCTGGTCGCTAAGCTGGACATCATGAGCCAGCCAGCTGCGAACGTCGACTCCGTGATCCTGAGCTGGGTCATTGAGGGCCAGGCCACTGAGTGCCCTTGCTCAGTCTGGCAGAGAGACTGCTTCAGCTCCGTGTTCTCAGACACGGCTGCTGAGTCGATGGCCTTAGCCCAGCAGATCAGCTGCTTAGTTGCTGCGAAGTGCACGTCTAAGCTCCAGATCACGGACTCAGACTTCGCCAAAGAGTTCAAGGGTGCCGTGAGGCACAAGCTGTCCTCCCTGAGAACAGAGTTTCAGGAGCAGCAAAAGTTCTCAGGGAAGTCTGAGGTGTGGCGAGTGGGTGCCCTTGAGATCGTCACCTCAGTGGTCTGGGCTGAGGAGCAGCTGAGGCAGAAGAACGAAGAGCAATCCTGGGTCGTGAGGGCAGCCGTCAGGAATGGCCTTCTGGCCTATCGGCCCAACCCTGAGACTGGGAGGCTTGAGACGGTCTCCGAGCAGCCCTGGGCTAAGGAGCTCGACCTCAGGATGGGCAGTCGTCGCTTCCCAGCCAGCTGGCTCTCAGAGAGGCTTAAGTGGCTGGACGACGCAGGCAAACCCATCCAGGCTGACTGGTCTCTGAGCGACTCAGCTAAGCAGATCTCCGACCTTATCAGGTGGGACTACTTCAACCCTGAGGAAGACCTTGAACATGAGCCTGAGGATGGAGGCTTTGACTTAGACGCCGACCTTGCAGAGGACCTGGACCTGAGTCTGCAGAACAGCCTTTCCCTGAGGCTGCACCCAAAGCTCAGACGTGCAGCAGCTCGCAGAGCTCTTGAGGAGGGCTACACTGAGAGAGTGAAGGACATCAGGAAAAAAGCAGAGCTCAGAAGGGAGAGGCTGAAGCACAGGACGGCCTTCAGGGGCAAGCTTCTGCAAAGCTTGAGACAAAAGCTGATGCTGAGCAGTCGGGCAGAAGCACTCAGTCAGGTGGTCCCTGTGAGGACTGAGACCAAAGGCCAGAAACTGAGTGCAACCACGAAGCCCTCAGCAAAGAACAAGCCCTCAGCAAAGAGCAAGGCCAGCAAGTTCCTGAAGGCTTCGGCTAAGAAGAAAGCAGCTAAGAAGCACGAGCACAAGGCCACTGTAGACAAGGTCATTGCTAAGGTCACAGCCAAGAAGAAGAAGGAGAAGAAGGCTAAGGCCAAAGCTGAGCCCACAAAGACTGAGACTGAGCCCTCAGCCCTGCTGGCTCCTTTCCTTGAGAAAGAAGTCATTTGTGTCTCCGAGGCTGCTGGCCGCATGCTCTTTGGCATTAAGGGCTTGGCCTCAGACTTCCAGTCAGGTCGCTACACTGTGATGACCGTGAGTGGCACCTTCGAGATCAGGTCTGAGCATCTCACGCTTTGGGAGCCCAAGACTCCTGAGTTCGTCTGGGCTCAGCTGAAATACCTCAGCAGGGCAGATACTCAGGCGATCCTCAGGGCCATCTCCTGCTGGCCTGAGCCAAAGCTGAGCTACGACGACTATGCCGACCATGGCTTAGTGCCCTTTCCTGAGACTGAGAAGCCTTTCTTGGTCGAGGATCAGTGGATCTGGCAGGGCTGGGCCATGATGAGCTGGTCCCTGCGAAAAGCCAAGGCAGGATCCTTTGAGGAGTTCTCAGTGGAGTGCTTAGACCCTGGCCTTCCTCACTTGCTCTTCGAGTTTCCTGAGCACTTGCTTGAGCCACGTGAGGATGCTGTTAAGAAAGCCTTCAGCAATGGTCTCAGGCTTCTGGTTCCACTGGTGAGGGCTTTGCACTGGACTTTGCTGGTGGCTCAGAGAGAGTCCCTGGACCAGACCGAGGGCTTTCAGTGGCGACTCTACGACAGCCTTCAGGAGCCCATTGAGGCCTGCACCTTGGCTCAGGTCAGGATTGGGAGCTTGCTCGATCCTCAGTTCAGCCTGCCCAAGAAGACCAACTCAGCAGTGCAGCCTCAGGGGTCACTGTTCTGCGGGTTCTATGTCTTAGCCTGGATGGAGCAGGAAGTGAGGCAGGCCCGAGGAGAATGGTTGAGGGTTTGGCCTGGGCTCCTGGCTAAGACTTGGAAGGAGAGGCTTCTCAAGATGAAGCCACATCTTGAGAAGGAGCAGAAGCTGAGGATCGCTGAGATCGAGAAGGCCTACAACAAGACTGAGGCCGAGAGAAAGGAAGCAGAGAAGAGGGTAGCCAAAGCTCAGCACGCCTTAGACACAGCCAAGGCTTCGACAACCAAGGCTGCTGTGGCTGCTAAGGAATCCCTCGACAAGAACCTCTTCAGGTTCACCTGGAAGCATCTCAGCAAAGAAGCCACGGCCAAGATTCTGGCCTTAGAGCACTCGCCAGGGATCTGCCAGAATTGCCGATGGCAGACAGGCTGTCCTCAGTGCCAGGCTGAGAAAGCCCTGAAGTACCACCTCACCACTGAGGCCGCTGCTCAGGGGAAGCTGCCCTTTCAGCCAGGACTGCAACTCTACCATCAGCCTTTTGCACTTGTCAGCCCTTTCTTGAGACCATTCCTCTGCTGCAGGACCCAAGGAATTCGCTCAGTATCTCAAAGAGATGCTCAAGGCCAACAAGCCTGAGCCAATTCAGGCTGAGAAGGGTAGTGAGGCTTCCGGTGCCAAAGAAACCTGAGCAAATCCCACCCAGGAATTCGCTCAGTATCTCAAAGAGATGCTCAAGGCCAACAAGCTTCAGCCAATTCAGGCTGAGAAGGGTAGTGAGGCTTCCCGCGCCAAAGAAACCTGAGCAAATCCAGGCTCAGGAACATGCCCCCTCTGGGGCCGGCCACCACTGCTGCCTCAGTTAATTATTCAGGACATCCGGCAGTCCAACAGTGCGGGTTTAGGGATGATGGATTAACTCAGTCATCAACTTGCAGCCTGAGGCAGCATGGGCCCTCTTTTTCAAAAGCTTGAGACACCCAGGTTGAGAAGAAAACTGAGCTTTGCAGAGCTAAGGGTTTTGGATTTGGAGGTTTGGTATTGAGGATTAATTAGTTGTTTCAATCAACTTAATTTAAAACAAGCCCCAAATCCTAACAAAAAAAATTCCGGATTTCGGGGGCGGTTTGTCTTTAAAGAGGGACTCCCAAACAGTCAGGGTGTCCTGAATAATTCGGCCAGTTTGTCTTTAAAGAGGGGGCCGATACTAAAGCGGGTGCAACATTAGGGCTTAGGTTTTAGGGCGGTTGAGGGGCTGAGTGCTCCTCGGGTTAAGGGTTATTCGGGTTCGGGGCTGCGGGTTTGGGAGCTTGGGGTGGCTAAGCTTAGAACTAATAAATATAAAACTTAACCTTATTAAGATTTAAAACTTAAGCTCATTAAAATTTCAAACTTAAGCTGATCAAACAAGGTTTAGGGCCATTAGGGTTTAAAATGCCCATAAAGGCCCCCATTAAATCCAAGTTGGGGGAAAGGGGCTTTTAATGAGTCCTTGAATAGGGTAACTGGTGAATGTTGGCTTTACTGCGTTCATTCACGTGTGTTTTTAATCGTTCATGCAGTTCACTTCATAAACTCGCTTGTTCATTCTCTTCGTAATTGTATAATTATCATAATGATAGTGTTAACACGTGCATTTCGTGCGCTAATCACTTCGCACGCGGGAAAGGGATTTAGTGATAAAACCGTGCGTAGGGGTGGGTTTGCGGCTTTCAGGGTTTAGAGTGTTAGGGTTCTCCCGCGGTGTGATCAACCCGACAGGTGGAGTGACAAGCCCGTCAGGCTTCCCGAAGAAGACCCTAAGTGTTAGGGTTTAGGGTTTAGGGTTTGGGGTTTGGGGTTTAGGGTTTAGGGTTTTAATACTCTCAGACCCCAAATCCCGGAAAATCTACATCCATCCAAGCTCTAAACCCTAAGCTTTACTTCGCCCCTTGAATGCTGTGCGTCATACTATCGCGCGGTCACTACTATATTCCCCTTAGAACCTTAATAAAAGCAATAACATGTTAAAAGAACCTCTTAGGTTTTATATAAACAAGATAAAAAAAACTATGTTTAATGTCCTCTTAGGTTTTATATAAACAAAAAATATATTTGCAAGGGGAATATAGACTACGCTCAGACAAGGTGCAGAAGTAGATCCGTACTCCCCACCACAACATCTTCACGATGCACTCCGCGAGGTAGACCAAGAAGAATGCCTGAAGGGTTAGGGTTTAGAGTTTAGGGTTTAGGGTTTTGGGGGTAGTGTTTAGGGGGGGCTAAGCGGCTAAGACTAGAACCCTAAACACCTGATCATGACCCGTCTGTTGCACTAATTACAATTTCGAGGGCCACCACCTACATCCATGTGGGGCTCAGGGTATCAGTTCAACCCTTGTGTAGGATCATGCAGGACTGTCCAGGACTATCGGGATGTGGATCGGACCAAGTGCTTTGGTTTCTCCTGCCGCAGCTCCGCTATGCAACTTTGGGATAAGCCTGGAACGGTATGGAGCTTGAGGATAACGTCTTGTAAGGGAACGACGTTTTAGCGACCTAGGCTCCTGTACCATCCCGAAACCCTTCTGGAATGTCCAAACCCTTTTGCAACTGGGCTTGAGGACCAGCCAGATTCATCTCCAAGCATCAGCGTCTCACCCCATCGTAATCCCCAAACCCTAATCCTAAACCCTAAACCCTAAACCCTAAACTCAAACCCTAAACCCTAAACCCTAAACCCTAAACCCTAAACAATAAACCCTAAACCCTAGCCCTAAACCCTAATCGGGGCCGAGGAACGACCTCCAAGACCTCCCACGTCATCATGAACTGTGGATGGTCTGCCCCCACGCCGATGATGATCGCATTGACCGCGATCACCAGCACGATGCCCACATCTAGCCCCTGTCGTTCTGGACTTGCTTTGAGGGGTTGGGGAGTTAGGGATTTAGGGGTTCAGGATTTAGGGACTTAGGGATTTAGGGATTTAGGATTCAGGATTTAGGGACTTAGGGATTTAGGGATTTAGGGGGGGGGGGGGTTTAGGGGGGGTTTAGGGGTTTAGGGGTTTAGAGGTTTGGGGGTTTGGGGGTTTGGGGGTATGGGGGTTTAGGGGTTTAGGGGTTTAGGGGTTTGGGGGTTTGGGGGTTTGGGGGTTTAGGGGTTTGGGGGTTTGGGGGTTTAAGGTTTAGTAAAGGGATTTAGGGTTTTAGGGCTTGTGAAGGTGTAGATGTAGATATAGGTGGCGTTTACGTTGCGGCACGTGGCTGAAGCTATGTGCACAACATACCGCCAGGCTCCTCGACCAAAAACTCTGCGAACAAAAGCCTGGGGGCACTGCAGTGGCGAGCCCAAACATGAAACTCTAAGTCCTTAAGCCTGCGGTTTGCAAGGGGCATCCCCTACGAACCTTAAACCCCGAAAGCACCCAACCCCTAAACCCTAAACCCTAAATCCTAAACCCTGTAGGCCCTAATAAACCCTAAACAATCCCGAAAGCACCACAGTAGCACACGACAGGAGGCGTGGAGCTTAGCGTTTCTCACCGTAAGGGTCTGGGTTTGGGGTTTGGGGTTTAGGGTTTAGGGTTTAGGGTTTGGGGTTTAGGGTTTAGGGTTTCGGGCTTTCAGGCCTAGGGTTGAGCCAAAAATCCAACGCTCTGTCAAGCCTACTTAGAGGTTCATAAGCCTGTAGCAGCCAGCTCAGGGCCCGAAATCCCAAATCCCCAAAGCCTAAATCCCCAAATCCCTAAACCCGAAATCACAGACCCTCTAAACCCTAGACCCCCAACTCCTAAAAACCTAACCCTCTCATCCTTAAATTCTCAAACCCTGAATACCTAAATCACTAAATCCTAAATACTTGAATCCCTAACTCCCTAAACCCTAAACCCTAAACCCTAAACCCAAAATACCTAAGTCCCGAAACCCCTACAACAACTTCCACAACCAGAAGTGCGCCTCGGTCAAGTAAGCCTGCCTCTGTCTCTGGTTGAACTTTGCCTGGGTCTAGGGTTTAGGGTTTAGGGTTTAGGGTCTAGGGTTTAGGGTTTAGGGCCGGTTTAGGGTTTAGGGTTCAGGGTTTAGGGTCTAGGGTTTAGGGCTTAGTGTTTAGGGTTTAGGGTTTAGGGTTAGGGCATGTTTGAGGGCTTAGGGCTTTTCGCGAAACTCCGCTGGGATGCATCCGTTGACACAAATCGACAGCCTACCTCTGAGTTTGCTGAGCAAAGAAGAACCATCTCCTGACTCGACCCTGGGTTTAGGGTTTAGGGTTTAGGGTTTAGGGTTTAGGGTTTAGGGTTTAGGGTTGAGGGTTGTGGGTTGTCGGATGAGGGAGAGTAACCTAGGAATAGAAAGGGTGCCCTTTTTTTTGGCGTAAAGGGGCTTACTGAGGGAACGTTTTTCACAAACAAAAGGAATAAGGGCCTACTCTGGGTCCTAGCTGACCTGTCCCTAAGCCCTAGGAACCACCAGGGTGTTCTTGTGTTTGTAAAATGGGTTTGTACGAGAACGTAAGCCCTCTCTACTAAATATATTCACACCTTCATTGAATTTCAGAATTCGGCCGTTCATTTTCAGAATTAGGCCGTTCTTCGCTTTCTCACATTGGCCGCTTTATTTTCAGAATTTGGCTCTTTTTGCTTTCTCAATGTTATAGGATTCTCTGGGTGGGTGGGTGTTATAATATCGAGTCGAAAATACAGTGTACAGCTTTGCCATAAAACTGCTCGGTCCGAAATCCTAAACCCTAAACCCTAAACCCTAAGCCCTGAGCCCTAAGCCCTAAACCGTAAACCCTAACTAAACCCAAGTCCCCAAACCCTAAGCAGTCCCGAAGCCCAAAACCCTGGCATCCTGGTCATACACTTGTTTAGGGCTTTGGCTTAGGGCTTAGGGCTTAGGGCTTAGGGCTTTGGCTTAGGGCTTGGGGCTTGGGGCTTGGGGCTTGGGGCTTGGGGCTTGGGGCTTGGGGCTTGGGGCTTAGGGCTTAGGGCTTAGGGCTTAGGGCTTAGGGCTTAGGGCTTAGGGCTTAAAATTAAGGGCTTAGGGGTTAGGGCTGGTTTAGGGGTTAGGGCTTAGGGCTTAGGGTTTAGGGTTTAGGGTTTGGGGTTTAGGGTTTAGGGTTTGGGGTTTAGGGTTTAGGGTTTAGGGTTTGGGGTTTAGGGTTTAGGGTTTGGGGTTTAGGGTTTAGGGCCAAAGGTTTGAGGCTTCAGGGTAAAGGGTTTGGGGCTCGAAGGCTTGCGGGCTTTCGGGCTTTGGTCTTCAAGGCTTTAGGGTTTAGGGTTCAGGGTTTAGGGTTTAGGGTTTCGGGTTTAGGGTCTCGGTTTTGGCTTCCCGGCCTTATTCGTCTCGAACATGTGCTGGTCTGACTCGTCCTGGTGCCAGTTCGGGTTGCTTCCGGGGGAAGGGTCACAACTTGGGAATAGGCGGTCAGCTCCAACACCTAACCCTAAACCCTAAACCCTAAACCCTAAACCCTAAACCCTAAACCCTAAACCCTAAGCCCGAAACCCGAAACCCGAAACCCGAAACCCTAACCGGGAAGATAACCGTTACTACTCCCTGCGTAGTTGAACTTGTTGAAACTGACTGAATGGGATGTCCCCCCATTATCCTAACTGTCCCTAATCGGGATTATAGTACCCCCTTATTATAATCCCCCCCACTAAGGACTGTAGTACAAGGGGGAACATCCTAACCTAAACCCTAAACCCTAAACCCTAAACCCTAAACCCTAAACCCTAAACCCTAAACCCTAAACCCTAAACCCTAAACCCTAAACCCTAAACCCTAAACCCTAAACCCTAAACCCTAAACCCTAAAC